AATAATAATAAAAATCCCCTCCACTCTCTTCCTCGACGTTCGTCGTCGACCGGTAGACGCCCAAGCACGCCTTTAGTGTGCGTGGTGGGATGGGACCCTGATGCGGCACCTACGACCGAGATAGGCGAGTGCACCCCTCGATCCAAACGTGTCACACGACAACCCCGCGGAGGTATGAAATTTACTAACTCAAAACCTTACTTTCAATTCGTGCGAACCGAAAAAACCGCCCCAAGCACGACCTTTAGTGTGCGTGATGAGATTGGGACCCGGTGCGGCAACCTACGCGGGCGGGGTCGCTCATATAGTACCCCGGGTGGGGGAGAATCAAATTCGCTTATCAAAAATGCTCTTTTAAAAACCCCAGCACGCCTTGGAGTGCGCGTGTGGGAGAAAACAACAAATACAAACGCCGCGGTGGTCTCACAACATCCACTGTGCACCGTTTTCAGTGACTGGCGGTAAGGCGCCTTCTTGATTTTTTCTCCTTAAGAACGGGGGAAGACGTCGGGCAGGCTGCCGAAATTTTGTCTGAAATACGAAAGACTTGGAGCAATTTGGGGCACCTGGACTTGATTGACTCAGAAGCACGACGGATTACTTGTACTTGACTCTTGAACAAAATACTAAATGATTAATAAAGAATAAACCCAAGTAGAAATGAAATTGGACCTAACTCAAGTAAGCAATTGAACTTAGACTCAAATCTTGAACAAAATTACAAGGACTCAGAGACTTGAACAATACTGCAAAGGACATGAACTTGATTCATATCAAATGATAATGACTTTGATTCACACTTGAGCCAAACTCTGCATAGTGACTTGAACTCATTGTGGGACTTGAGCATATACAATATAACTTCAAATGACAAATCTTGGACTTTGATTTGAACAACTTGAACTTGATCATGGACCCATATTCAAGCAAATCGCAAAGGAACATGTCAAATTAACCCAAGTGAACAAAAATGCAAAGAAACTTAAGTTGGACTTGAAGTGAGTCATAAAGGATCCGACTGAGTGAGTTATAAAAACAGCTCAAGATAAAGTGTGGAAGACCTATCCAAATCTCATCCAAACACAAGACTGGCGCACAAATTCACTAGCAAGCTTTGGCATAATATTTTATTTGAGCAACAATTCAACCATATAATGTGGAGTGAGCAAAGTTGAACATGTCTCGGCTCAAATTGAATCAAAGCGAGTGGCAGAAGAGATGTATTTAGTGTCAATTGATTGATTCATAAGTTCTTTTCAAATATTGTTGTATGTGTTGATCGCCAATGAATACTATAAGACCTTTAACATCTATGAACCAGACTCAAAATCATTATGTTTTGGCAATGATGAATACAGTAATTGAAAATGGAGGACACCAAATGTAATCAATCTATCCATCAAGAAAAAGTTGATAGAAAGTCAATAATTATGGTTGCAATCAGAATAAGACTTTTTCATTGAGATATTCATTATGTCGTCACATTGATTAGGATGAAAATGTTTATTAACAAGTTGCCTACACAACACTTTGAACCATCTTCGCATGTCAGTGGAATGTATGAAGTTCAACAGGCTCATCCATCATTAACATCAACACATGGTTGAAGAAATACGATGACCTTACTGCGGACAATAATAATTGGCATACGATGAGTGTATTAGTTTCCAACACCTCAAATAATCAGCTAACTCCAAACAAGGTTACGAAGAAACAAGAAAAAGCAAATGATTCACCACGAGGAAGGAAGGACATTTTAGATGAATAACCAAACATCAGTTCAAAGGACCATAATCGTTCCACAAGTCAATTATCAGTCAGCATGTAAGCAAATAAGGAGATTATCCAATCAACATACGAGAATCAATGCAAAGCAGGAGACTCGTTAGTACACTTCACGATCCACTTGCAGAAGCAACCATATGCACACAGTCCTCCGGTAGTAAAGCAGCGAACCACTAACGTCAGAAGCTGCTATACCACGCCACCGGATCTGCAACCCTTACAAGCACACAAAGGCGTCTAATAAATATTAAAATACCCCCACGTGCACTGTATTTATATACCCTAGTACACTAGGGGGAAAATAACAATCCAACAGCCGCTGGGCCCCGCGAGCATGTTATTGTCACACATGACGTCTAGGATGCTACGCGCTGACAAGGAATTCTTGTCGAACCCGATCCTCCTATAGACGGACTACAATAGGAAGTCGACAGGTTCGAACTCTCAAACAAGTATACGGCTATGAGACCGGTGTATTTATTTTTAATACATCATATTAGGCCTCTTCAAAGGCGATTATAAAAGGGAAGGGGAATTTTCAACTAATTAAAAGCATAAAGCCTACGAAACCCGATCCTGCTATCGACAGCCCGATCAGAGTTGACAAGGTTCAATCAGTAAAGAGAAGATGACCCGACACCCCGATGAAGGCCGTGTTGAAGAAGATATCAACCGAGGGTGTCCACAAATATTTTTAATGCCTTCCAAGCTCCACCCAAATACCCATAAAAATCCAAAACTCCAGAAAATCTAAATTCCAAATACTTCTAAAATATGGAAATCCAACCATCCACACTTAAAGCAAATTCTATCCACCCCCCGTAACAGTCTACTGGGCGGACAAATTTCAAATAAACTCTAGCTCACAAAGAGTCAATGCCTAATCGAAATATCACTACTGATCCATTCTCAAACAACTCTTGCCAGTAGACGTGGTCGTGTCCTCTAATCGGCAGGTTTCGCCAAAATGGCACTGCAGGTAAACGTTATGACCCGGGCCCTCTGACCGAGTGAGTTTCGCGCCAAATGGCCGCACAATGATAGCGGTTATGCCAGAGCCAATACGCTTTTAATGGCGTTAAATCCTGAGAATGAATCAATATTGATATGATTGATAGGCACAAAGCCCTCTATTAGCTTAAGGTGAATTCAAATTTGTCCCCTCAGACAAACATCCAACCCAGGTCTACCAAGGTCCCTGGCGAAGCAACCCATGGCTGCCGACAAGGATCATTCTGTCAGGTGGTCGACTACTCCTCTGCTAAGTAGACCAGGGACCATGTGGCCCGGACGACGAACCGATGGATTCTTGATCGGGTCTATTCATCCATTCCTCCACCATCCGCTATTAGTGCTAGGAGATGAAAATTTTCATATTTTAAATATCAAACTTTTCAACCTTTTCCAATAGCCAAATCCAAACCTAATGTCTAAAATTCCATACGCCATGCTGCTACTTATGTCAGATAACACGTATTCTACTACTGATTGACGACTAACTTAATCGAAAGCTCTCTCTCTGATTGAGAGGGTATTAACTATAGCAGCTTAACGCCCTATAGGAAACCCAGAACTCAGAGTATAAAGTCCTCCAAAATGAGGGGAAATCGCTGGATAGTGCTCTTATCTACAAACCCATCTGCCTTCCAAAATTACCTCGGAACTCTATTCAGTTAAAACTCCCTCGCCGATAAAAAGAAAAGCCGAGCGAGGCCGGGGCAAATTTTCGGAGACCACAAGGGAAAACCAGAAAACTCATTAATAAAGTCCTCACAAATGAGGCGAAATGTCTGGGTAGTGTTTATCTACAAACCCATCTGCTTCCAAGATATACCTCAGACTTATTCCGCTTAAAACTTCTCGCGAAAAAAGAAAAGGAGGGGGCGAGCGGAGGCGGGGCCGAATTATTCGGGCCCCACAGGGAAGGGGCTATTTTTCCCTACCATGAAGGAATTACATCAAAAAAATAACAAATTCAAATTAAATGTAGAAGCATAATGGCCTTCCTTTTATTCGATTGTTATAATTAGGCAAGCATTAGGTAACGCTTATATATGCAAGAGAAGAAGAACAACAACAATTTACAAACAACAGCCTTTATCCCACTCGTGGGGTCGGCTACGTGAATCCCTTTCTTCTCATTGTCACTATTAAAGGTCAAATTTCTCGTTTAAACTAATAAAGAAAGGTCATTCCTATATTTTCTAACAAGTCTTTTTAGTCTGGCCTCTACCTTCTTAATATTAGTCAAATCTAATACCTCTACCTCCTAACCAAGTCAATTGGAAGGCCGCCGTTTTATGGTGACCAAACTCTAAGGCGACTCTCTCTAATCTTTAACTTCTATTGGAGGTACTCCAACCTTTCACAGTATTATGCTCAATGTTGTATCCCTATCTCCAAGGGTAAAGCCCTCATCACCATAAGCATCCCTATCTCTGCCACACTTAACTTAGTAATATGCTTCTTCTTTTAAAGCAAACATTCAGTACCATAAAGCATTGCAAGCTCACTACCATCTTAATAGAATTTTCCTTTAAGTTTGAGGGGTGCTTTTTCTATCACACAACAAGCCCGATGCATTCCTCCACTTCAAACACCAACTTGAATGTCTGCCTGATAATTCATCCCCATGCTGTTTCACCATCACTCTGAACAAAGACCGAGTATCTAAAATGTGTCTCTATTAATCGACTTGATCGTCCAAAGTCACAATACCCCTAACTAGTCTATTACTACTAAAATTACACTCCATATAATTCCGTTTGACTACTCACGCAAAAACTTTAGTCTCTAATGTTGACTCCATAATTCAAGTACTTACAACTCCCTCTCACGTTTTAATAACAAGAAGAATATCATCAGCAAAAAGACTCATCAAGGTACATCCTCTTGCAAATGTCTAGTAAAACATCCATGACTCAAAGCAAAAAGTAGCTAAGGCTGATCCTTATGTAACCCAACCGAAATAGGGAATAATTGGTCAAACCACCTTGTGTTTGAACACAAGTAATAGCTCCTGCATACATAGAGAAGAGAACATTAACAAAAATTATTAAAAGATAACATCCTCAATAATAAGGAAATATTATAATAATAAACTGCATATCACTAT